AATTACCAATGACCCAGACAACATGTTGTTTATTAAGTACTTGGGTATAAAATTAGAAAATTAATAAAATATGTATAAAAAATATTTGAGACATTCCTGAATGAAAAATTTGTATGTTTCTGGCCATGAAGTTCAAATTCTTTATAATACTTTTGTATTTGATTTTTGTGTCATCAAATGTGACCTCTAAAATAACACATTGAATAGTTCCAATGCATGAAGTCTATGGTTTTGCTGCAAGTTTTCTGATCACATGCCTAATTCCTATTATTTTCAGTTTGAATATGACTTAATGTTTTGCAAATCTATGGAAGAAGGTTGTACGTTCTAGAACAGCAAATAGTACAATTCAGGAAGGCAGGGCTTACCAGATCAGGCCAAACTTTATAAGGTGCCACTGTACCAATTTTCACACTGTTACTTTCTATGTTGACAAAAAAAGTCAGTTTTCACTTATGCATTAATGAACTGATCAGTGACTGACCAAAAAATAAAGTCAAAGTTCATTGAAAACATTGTGGGCCAAACTATTGGCTGTTATGTGAGAATATAAATGGGCTAACTAATCAATCCAGCATTCAGCTGCTGTAAAAATGGAATAAAGAAACAAGTAAACAAGGCAAATTCCATGACTGCAATCATTAGGAAGAGAATTGAAAATGGGACTGTCACAATAACATCTTAATGATACTACAGTGCTATGAAGAGTGTAAAAAATAATAAAAAAAATATTAGAGAAATGGAGGAACTCCTTTATGAAGGAAGACAACTGCATGGCTTTTTTTAGCTTCAAACCAAAGGGTAAAGAAGATATGGTATGTATGAAATCATAAATAGCATTGAGACAGGTATATTTTTCTACCTCTTTTCTAATGTTAGAACTCAAGACCATCCACTGAAAGTACATTCAGAGGAATTCAGGACTAATAAAATGAAATACTTTCATGTGCATCGTATAAACTTGAATTTATTGCCAGCTGTTGAGATAATGGCAATAAATTTGAATGTCAAAAAATTGTAAGGAAGATAAAATTCTGTTCAAGGAAGATATTGTTCTGTCCCAGCCTCCATGAATACTGCTCAACTGCTTATTTGGGAGGAAAAAACCCTTTGCATTGAACAAGGCAAGATAAACCCCTTTTGTTTTGACACAGCTTTTATGGAACAAAACTCCAACCATTCCTTTAGCTGTTGAAATGAACAAGATCAGTCTCTGAGTTCTCAGCTAGAATGCTCAAGGTTTAAGTCACTCAAACACACAGAAATCCGACAAACCTGGCTAAATATCCAAGAATCCTGAGGCAAGAAATCCAATGACAGAAGCACAAAGCTGTAGCATGAACGGTTGCCTTTGGCAACCAGCCCCTCCCACCCCTCTGCTCTTTATAGTCCAGCCAGAGTGTGGCTTCTTAGAGTCTTTTACTTTTCCTGGAGAACCACCCCACCGCCCTCCACTGTCCTTGCACGCCTTTCCTCCCTGCGCATCCGTGCATCTGGAACAGGCCCCAGCTGCTCTTCATCTTCGCTCAGTTCAGGCCCCCAACCCAGCTGTCTCTGTGCTTGAGCGTGAGTAGATGGGCCTGGTATCACATCTAGCTCTAAGTCTTTGTGCTCCTCAGAGTCTTCCACAGACTCCGATGTGACCCCAGGCAACCCTTCCCCCCATCCGATTCATCTGATTCGGCTGCCAGATCTGCTAGCAGGCAAGGACTCACAACAGTTATTATCCGTGGCCACTAAAATTGATAGAAATTTCCAATTCCAATTCATACACAATGTGTTGTAATAATATTGCTGGAAAGTAACAACGGAAAGAAGTTACTGCTCTGTTCCAGGTTTGTGAGCATTCCCAAGTTATCCAGTTGGCCACGGAAGGTTGGATTGGATGAGCCTATGTTTATCTCAAAGGTGCAAATTGACAATCTGTGCAAATTGAGAGTCAATGCGATTGAGAATCTGCATAGGTGATGAGCCTTGGGATTAATTTATCAGGGTTTTATATTCTTGTGTTTTTAAAATTTGACCAACAGCAGCTTGACACTTGGTTGGGTTAACCAGTATTATAACTCCCATATAACAAATTTTGTGTGTTGTCACATCAGAGAAATAAATACTTGTGTATGATTTATTCCAAGTACATATTGTTTGAACAAACAAAACCCTACCATAGTATATACCTAAGGATGAATTGAAAATGGATTAATTACAACATTTAAAGCATTGAGAAACCATGCCATCTTCATATGCAACAAAGTCCTTTTCTTTACTTGGTTATATCAGGAAACCATTTAAGGTGAACATTTCAGGATTTGTTTTATATTGTTGTGATTATGTTGAAAAACTGTTCCATAGCTACTAGATACTTTATTCCATGAGGAAGAATTATCTAGATTTCATTATCTTCTTCCTCTTGATTTTGCTTCTGCTTATATTTAAGGAAAAGAATGTTTGGTATTTTTTAACAGTTCTATCATATCTCAGTTCTATTGTGCAATAGAAGTAATGTATCCTTTTAGAACAGGGGTCTTCAAACTTGGCCCTTTTATGACTTGTGGACTTCAACTCCCAGAATTCCTGAGCCAGCATTCCTGGCTGAGGAATTATGGGAGTTGAAGTCCACAAGTCATAAAAGGGCCAAGTTTGAAGACCTCTGTTTTAGAACTTATAATTGTTAATTTGCTAGGTGTAGACCCTTTTCAATCATGCTGCCCACTCTTTGGGCCATTATCTCAATCAGAGACTAGATTGGCCCCAACCCTGCTGGCTTTTTGCAAGACTTAAAGATATTAATTTATTAGTGGGCTTGATGTGTGGTGAGTTCAGGCAGTGGTTGTGTTAATTTGCTGTTGGTGGCTTTTTTTTAACCTTAGCTGCTAATTGCGTATACGTATTTTTTTTAAAAAAATATTGTTTTAAGTTTCTATATAGTTTGTAATTTTTAGTTTTTAATTGCTATCAGCCCTCCAAGGTTTTAATATTTTAATCTGTGTAGTTTTATGTTTTTATTATGATTTTATTTATCATTTTAACTTTTGATTGGGAGCTGCTCAATCAAAGAAAATGGGTGGTAATGTAAACGTGTTAAATAAATAAAGTAATGAATTTTAGATGGATAGTCATATAAACTGAAATAAAGAAATAGTTCTTATGTAAATGAAAACAGTTGATTAATTTTTACTTACTTTTAAATCAGAAAATAAAAATTATTTAGCATTGCAAACAAATTTAAGTAGTAGAATTATCCCTTACTTTGTGGCTGATTAGAGGAGACATTCTCACATGGACTAAAAAAAAAAGCGATCTGTGCCCAATTGTGCTCTTATATGCAAAATCACTATAGCATAGTACCTTTTATCTCCCATCCAGGAATCTGTCATCATTACATTTTATGTTGAAGACTACATTTGACATTTATTATATGCTGCATTTCATAGTAGCATTTTTATGTTTACCTCCTGTTAGGTATGCTTTACACTGAGCTGGAACCTTGCTTTAGGTTGTCCATAACTGTTTATTCTGTTGTTAAAAAACTTGGGCAATTTTTCAGCCAGTCTTGTACTTTGAGATCCTTTAATTGTTAGTGCCAGGAGAAGACATTTGAGACTTTTTACAGACCAAGTTATACTATATCATATATGTCAAAACATAACGCAGCATCAAAATTATATTGTTTAGAATGAATCTAAATGGAGAAGGAAGCCTGATTGTTACTTTGAATGCCATAGTCAGAACATGCTCGGTGACAGAAAAATCAGTGATTTTTCAGCACCGAAAAAAGTGGCAATACAGTAAACGGTAGAACTGAGCATGACAGCAGATTCCTTGTAAGTATTAAAAGAGAAGCACTATGACTAGGGGATTTGAAAAGACAGGTAATTATTACAGCTATGGTTAATTAGGGCTCTGTCAAATCTTTCCTAATTTTTGTGTTGACATTTGACATGGCCAAACATAGTGCCTAAGGCTTGTGCTGTTTGTATTGCCAAAGGCTTATGTTCTTGGATATTATCGCAATCCTCTGTTTAATGCATCCTCTAATCATCATTTTCCTCTATCTCTCATTACCATTGAATTTGGCCAAGGAAACCTGTATTACTTTATTTGCAGTTTATATCAGTGTTATTCCATCAGAAATAGCATTACAATGTTATTTTTTAATTTATGACCTTACAGTGTGATAGATAAAATTTCATTTCTTTTCATACTCTACTTCTTTAATCAGAGGTGATACAGCTGAGAACAGTGAGGCCAAGCTAAAAGCAATAGAGGTTATAAGAAACTTTGCTGAAATAATCTGAGTTTTGTAACTAGTTGTTAAAATGGGAAATACTTTGATAATAATAAAAGCAAATATTAAACTGTTAAAGTAGTTTTCCCCACAAACTATCATATATGATTCTTATAAATGTCCTAGCAATTTTCCCCAGCTCAACAACCCCCCTGCAGTGTGATTAGTTTCCAGGGTCATTTTATCTTGGCAGAGATGGGCAACCTTCAGACACCACTAACTCTTTTTATGCTATTTTCAGAAATAGAGATGTTGCTGAGAAAATTTGGCAGAATGCTTTTCTCTATATTATTAGTTTAGAAGAAACCAGCAAAACATGTATTAATCTAGAAATATAGCATATCAATTTTCCTTTCAAAAATGAACCCACCCACTCCCTAAATAGTAAGGAGAGAGCCAGAATAAAAAGGAGCTGAAACTGCCTTCCATCTCCTCCCTGCCCTACTTGTCACTCATGTGATGTCATGACTTTATTGCCATGCCTTGCAGAGCTGGAAAAAAATGAAGTAAAAAAAAAAGTGTAGTTTCCCAAAGGAATAAAGCATTGCCATTTCTGAAACTACCAGAAAAAGTGGCATGGCTTACAACTATTAATAGCCAGTCTTTTTCTCTCCACATATTTTTACTTGTTTAACATACTAGGGAATAATAAATACATTCTTTGGGTTGGTTTCAATGATTAATATTCTTGTTTCTTATTATTTCATTGAAGGCAAAACTGGCCATACTGAAGTTGTGCGAGTGGTATTTCAGCCGGAAACCATCAGCTTTGAGAAACTGCTCAAGGTCTTCTGGGAGAATCATGACCCGACACAAGGTAGAGTGATGAGTGAGCCAGTATTTAATTATCTTACTAATTACAGCTGGGATAATTAGTGTTTGAGCTGCTTGGAAGAGATGAACCTTGAAATCACACCTCAGCTCAAGAGCATGATTGCAGGCATTTATTGATGAGACGGGAAGCACGAGGAACTAGAATTTCACAAGCCTCCCTCCTCCCCCCTCCCTCCAATAGATGTCTGTGCTGTGAAAATTCCCACAGAGAGACTTATAAGACAATAGAAATTCTTCTCACCTTTGGATTCTTACACCTTCTTCCTTAATGCAATCTCTCGCCTTTCAAATTAAAGGTCTTCTTTCTACATAGCTACACAGTTGATCATTTCAGTTATGATGTTTGTGAGTTTGGTCTATTTCATTTTTTGTGGTATCTTTTATGCTGAGAAAAATAATAATAATAAAATGTTGATGCATTTAGAATAACAATTTGGTGGACAGGTCTTTTAATCAGTATTTTGCTCTAGCAAGTTCTTCCTTGAAAGTGCTTGCAGGCTGCCTGTAATATGCCATTAGAATGACGGAAGCAAGAAAATGTTTTAGTTTGGCACCTTTTCAGAGAAGGTAAATACTATCATATGATTTGATGATGGCATGAACGTACATTTATGATTAAATCTCCAACATTGTGTAAAATTTAATATAACAATTATTTTTATCCTGCCTTTATTATTATTTCATAAATAACATACCTAATACTCTTTCTTCCTCTATTTTTCCCTCAACAATAACCATGTGAGATGAGTTGAGCTGAAAGAGAGTGACTAGGCTAAAGTCGCCCAGCCAGCTTTCATGCCTAAGGCAGGATTAGAACATCACAGTTCTACTTCACATATTTCACTTCACAGTTTCATATGAATATGCTGAAATCCTGCAAAATCTCAGAAAACCTCTTGAGAGATTTTGAAGTAACATAACATCTAATGATCTTCATAGATTTCTGTTATTAATATAATTAGATAGATAGATAGATAGATAGATAGATAGATAGATAGATAGATAGATAGATAGATAGATAGATAGATATAGATATTAGAGCTCTACAACCTTCAGCTATACTCTGCCACCGTATATAAAGGTAAATAATGGTCTTAGTCCCACAATCCTGTTTTCCAGTGGTTCTTCCTGATATATTCAAAGACTATTCAAATATTCAAATTGGGGTGATTACATTCAGAACAATTTGAATATTCTTTGATTTGCAGGCCCAATCCATAGGTGTCACTGACAGGGTACTACTGGCCCATCTTTAAGAAAACAAGAGGGTGTGATAGCTTTCTCCTGCAGAAGCTTGAGATATGTCATGACCTTTTAATGAAATACTTGTCCAGTCATCTTCTCTTTCAAACAGGATATTGAAGAATAAGAAAGAAATATAGTTTCAGCATTTTGGATCATTCTTTTTAAAGAGAATTATTTTCTGTAGACTATATTGCAAATCTATATATTGCGTGTATAACAATGTGCACATACCAACACATGTTAAAGAGAGATCTAATTTGGTACTAAGCAGAAATTTCCTTCAATAAGAATAATTAATCAATGGAACAGCTTGTCTCCCATAGTTGTGGGTGCAAGATAGATTCCTTGTGAAGACCATTGCTGAAGGTCTTCAAGAAAAGATTGGAGACCCACTTGTCCAGAATGCAATAATGTCTTCTGCCTTGGACAGGAGGTTGGACTAGAAGACTTCCAAAGTCCCTTCCAGCTGTATGATTCTATATCTGCCATGGCAACTATTTAGGGAAAATGCAAACTTCCTTCAGTAACCGTTTTATAAGAGTATCCATGATGTGTTCTCAAAATATCAAATACAGTAACTGATCCTAAAGTTTTTGGGAGCTTTTAAATATATGATAATATGATATGCTTTATTTAGCTGTGATTGAATGGGGGGAGGAATGCAATTTCTCCCACTGTAAAACGTTAAGAAGATAGCTAAAATATAGAGAAATGAAATAGGGACTTAGGACTCAAAGCACTTAAGCAAAGTGCCTTTTTTTGCTACCTTTTCCCTTTGTCTTTCCCATTGTTCATTTTGGAACTTCTCGCCTGCCTGCCTGCCTGNGATATCTTTTCTGCAAAGTGCTGATCTTTGCAATGCCTGTCCTTTATTTTTATGTAGGAACATTTCATGCTGTGCTGTTGCTGTTTCAGTTTGGGTCAGGATCACCAGTGCAGCAAGCATGAGCATAAGATATCTTTTTGATGAGCTTTTATTTTCTACCCAAATAGGATGCAGCCCAAACCTTCTGGTACCTACCCCATGAATAGAAAGTTTTATTTCACACATGATCACAAGCAAAAAGAGAGTCAGGGTGGAATAGGTATTTCTCAGCTGCTTGACTGCCTTTGGAATCTTATCGTAATAAATCAGACTTTGGCATCTGTGGTAATAAATTATCACGATAGAAGACTACAGGATTTTGTAAACCAAGTCAAGTGCATGAAACTGCTTTATTTAGATTGCTAATATCAAATAGTACAAGGCTGAGGACCTGAAGATTCCTCATTCAACATACACAAAAATGGACACAAATTTGTATCAGGTCTTTACTGCTTTGTTTCATGTTACCTAAAGGCCCTGATTGTTAGTCACTGAGTGGGAAACGCTGCGCCTCTTATGGAGGCTGCACAAGGAATCTATCATCTGCAAATAATTAGAATTAGACACTAGAAATTACATTGTTTTTCTAATGAGCAGATGTGTCTAGTTGGAGAAGGAGGACAGCTGTACCCATATACAAATGTGAAAGCCAGACTAAACTAACATTGCACATTTCGTGATAACCCTACTTTTATAATGTCAAATGGGTCATTACATAAAGGATCATTGCATAAAATGTACTGATTTTTCAAAATTGTTCAAGATGACTTCTTCAGAGCTTTGAGATATATAAGAAACCCAGACCTCAGTAACAGAGCTGCTTTGCATAAGTGAAGCAAATTCAGCTATTGGGATGGCACTTCCTATTTACCAAGACTTATTGACATGGTATTGTATTCTTTTCTGCTTCAGCCGTAAAGGAGCTGTTCTGGGTCAGATAAAAGATATCCCTGCACTGTGTTCTATTCGTACAGTAGACACGTAGAGCCTTGTGAGAGGCTTACAAGTAGGACTTCTGTCTGGAATAGCATCCCGTGCTCTATGTTGACTCTATGGTCAACATCCATGAGACAGGAGAAATAATGAAGGTTTTCTTTCAAAACACAACTATTTGTGGGGAAGTGGGAGGAGAGATATATATGTTTGAGTTTGTGTTGGGAAACATTCATTGGGACAGAAAGAAATAAGCAAACCATAACCAGAAATCTCACAAAATGAATAGACAGTAGGAAAGAAATTGTCCTTAACCATCAGTCATGTCCCATGTCTATGGTACTTCAAAGTAAAAATCTAAAGAACAATTTTATATAGTGATATTTGGATCTAGAAGATCAAGCAGCAGCAAAGTGCATGAAAATTGACCACTGGGGAAGCTCCTGTACTATACTGATGGACTAGACTAGGGGTGTCAAACTGCTGGCCTGTGGGCCGGTTTCATCCTACTGAAGCTGCACCCACCCCATTGCCGGCAATGCAAAAAGAGTCGCGATACGTCGCGACACATCAATGACGTGGTGAGTTTGACACCCATGGACTAGACTCAAACAGCAGCTCAACTCAAATAGAGCTCACTGATTTGTACTTGTTCAACATGTAGTAGGAACCCAACCATTAATAGGAACCATGACATTGTGTTAAGCCATCATTTAACAAGTAAGATACTACAGTATATTAGGTGACCTAGGGAATGTTCTAGTAATTCAGGTCTAGAGTTTGTCTTAATATTTGAACCCAGCCTTTGAATTCTTTATCTTTTGCCTGTAGCATTGATATTACTTATTTATCATATTCATACTTATCACCCATCTCATAGAATTTGATTATGTATGATAAAAACATAAAAATAATAATTACAAAACCACTCTAAAATTAAAATGTAAATATTACCATTATTTAAAAAAAGCTTTAAAAAGATAAAAAGAATATAGATGTTATGCACAATGAAGCCACCTCTCTAATCCTCATTTCCACAAGACTCCCAAACCTATTATACAATCAAGTTTTAAGGGACTTCTGAAAAGAAGGGTAGGTCTCACCTCAGGAGTGGGAGAAATGATGTTCCATAGTGCAGGCACAACTGCAGAAAAGGCCCCTCTTTTGGTCCCACAAAATATAGTTCATTAGCAGAGAGGATCTGAAGCATATCCCTATGATTCTGGGTTCTGCTAAACCTGATGGAACAGGTAGAAGTAATCGGGAACAGGTAGTTCGTTAAATAACCTGTCCCATGCCATGAAGAAGGACTTTAAAGGTCAAAACTAGCAAGTTGAATTGGACCTGGAAGCAACCTAGCCATTTGCCATTCTAGGGGTACAGATAACTGCATGTGCTATTGCATTTTGTACCAGCTGAAGTTCCAGATACTCTTCAAGGGTAATCCATATAGAGCAGATTACTAGTCCTCTTAGAGGTGACTGGACTTGTGTGACCGTGAGCAGAAATTCCTAATCCAGCAACTGATGCACAACCTGAAACTGTTCAAAGGCAATCCTAGCCAGGACTGTAACCTGCTCTTCATGCGTCTCTGCAGTATACTAATGTAGCTGTATGCTCATGATACCCAATTACAGGTAGTCCTCAACTTACAACAGTTCATTTAGTGACTGTTCAAAGTTACAATGGCACTAAAAATGTGACTTATGATCATTTTTCAGTTACAACCTTTGCAGCATCCTCATGATCATGTGATCAAAATTCAGATGCTTGGCAACTGGTTCATATTTATGACTGTTGCTGTGTCCCAAGGTCATGTGATCCCCTTTTGCAACCTTCTCACAAGCAAAGTCAATGAGGAAGCCAGATTCACTTAACAACCAGGTTACTAACTTATCAGTGCAGTGATTCAAAGTAAAAATCTAAAGAACACTTAACAA